AAAAATGCAGCGGTAGCTTATAGCCACTTAAAACTTGCACTTTATTATACTGAAATTGAATGAACTACATACTTTAAACAAATTTTTAAAAATTTTATTCCAATGTAGAAAATTTTGGTGAAAATTTGTCGATTTTTCCTAAATTTAGTAAAAACTTTGAAACCGTATTAATTTTATTAAAAATTTATTACGAAAAACATTTCAAAAATTTAAAAAAAAAATACTGTACGGAAACATATTCTGCTGAGTGTATATATATATATATGTATATGTAGGTATGCACATATAGAAGTTGCTTAGATTCTTGATATCATTATTATCATATGTATTAATGCAATCATGTTACTATAGTGTGTGTCTAATAATTTATATATAGTATAAGAAACAACAGCAGTGGTTATTTTGCATTGTGTACTAAGTAAAAGCATACGAATGAGCTGCGTCATTCATCCACGCAAGCTTTGCTTTTGTAATGCTTGTAAATATATAAATATTATAAGTAAACCTTAATGTCTGCTTAATATCAATGCTTAAACTTAAACTTCTTAACAAATATGTAAAGTTGTAATATTTTATAATGAGTAAATTGTATGGTGAAAATAATAACAAATAGAACAACAACCTCACGCAATCTGTTTTTCCGCTACTTCTACTTGAATGACACATTCACAATAATTAAATAAACGAATACGTACAGTGGAGTTGACTCGCCGAGGTCGTTCTAAAATGTATGTATAACGTAGAAACTGTTCAATATGCTTGATTTGCTCCAAACGATTTTTTAAACTCCAATCATACGAAAATGGATAAATCATTGAACTGAGCTGAGCATGTTTTGGGACTACATATAAATTAAAAACTAACACCCAAATTCATAAAAAATAAAGAAGAATTTAAATGCTTTATAAATCGAAAGTTTTTATGAAAATGTCACTATATAGAGCTGTATCATGTTCCAACTACACAAGATCTGGCAAGATGAAGCAAAAGAAAAAAGTAATTTTCTGGCTGACGGTTGTAATTTTCTTTGAAAAGTATAAAAAGAATATGAGGACGAAACATAAAGAAAAACATGCAAGCAATTTCGTAGCACATGTTTCTGCTAACCAATTTATTATTTTTGTATATGTTTTTGCAACCAATCACCGCGCACTTCATTTTAATTACATTTGCCCAAAAAATTTATTGAAAATCGCTTAAAAACCACTGAAATAAACCACCGACAAAGTACACATAAAGAAAGAAGCAAAACAGAAGTAGAAAACTTCAAAATTACGAACGTCTCATACTTTTTTCTCAATCGCTATTACAAATAGCTGTATCTCAACCAGTCAGATCTGTTCTAATTGGTTCATGGAGCTGTATAAATCTATTTTACTTTTTATGAATAACGTGGGGTTTACATAGAACAATTTTGCGAGGACAGTAGCAATAATTGCACACTTTTTACTAATACACATCACACATCTCTCATTGTCTTCGACAGAAAATTGGACAATTTGGTCACGTCTTGGTTAATTTGAGAAAAAGAAGCAAGGCAAAATCTCAAAAAATTACAGAATTATGAAAAAGTGGTTTGTGTTTAGATATATTATATCGAATGTCTTTATAATTGTCTGGACGCCTGCTTTAAACAACAATTTGACAAATAATACATATTCTCAATTATCGTGAATAAAATTGTCTTACGTAACGCAGCGTAAGGCCATAAATATTTATATCTCTTGGGAAATTTTTCGAATAATACAAATGTAAAAACTGAAGTTATAACAAAATGCATGACTATCATTAGTCCCCTTTTGAAGCAAGACTTGACGTGTCTGAAAGGGGACTTACCGCACATGAACGAAAGACACAAGATCACGTAAGAACAAGAGAGTGAAAAAAGTCGATTTTTTAGCGGGTTCTACGCCATCTTGTTTCACTGGAAAACGAGCGAAAAGTAAACAAAGCAAAGAAAACAACGAAAACCAAAATTAGCCAAAACTATTGTCAGCCACTTTAAGCGCACAATTTAGGTAAAATGATGCAATAAAATGCTTGAAAATGTGTTGTCATGTTGAATTAACTCTTCTTTACTTAAATAAAAGTGTAAAATAGTGGTGCTTGTGATGTAAACAAACGCTCAGCTGACGAACCCGCTTTCGCAAACTTTTTTCTCAAAATCAGTTACAAATACAACGTCGCGTTCTTACGTGATCTTGTATTTTTGGTTCATGTTTACCGCACCACAAGCATAATCATAAGCGGATTTTACACGATTTAACATGGAGTGATGACTATCGATCTTCGATCGTGTGAACGCTTATACAACCCTTGGTTTGTCAAGCCGCTTGTGTTGTGTATTTCGCTCTTTACCAGAGCGCCATGTAAATGAAAACTCAACACCACAGAATTTTTCTGTAGTTTTAGCCCGTAGCGCAGAAATCTGCGGAATTTAGATTTTTCCGTGTCAGCTTATTTCTTCCTCCCATAGGTGGTTGCCACTTCGTCAGTTTCGCAGGTGGTAAATAAGTTATAAGTTGCTATTCAAAACACGTTCAAAATAATTGAAATTTACTATTGAATAAGGTTTTTTGTTGAAAACTAAGTAGTTTATATTTAGCTACGATCTATTATAGCACGAAAAATTGTAGTTGAGAAGGTAAGTTTATGAAATGGCATTGATGAGTGGCAACAGTGTAGTAAGCAACACTGAGGGCTCCAGTAATCGACAAAATTCTGCGTATACAGACTGCGTTTAAGTATACGTTCTGCGTTCTCGACTAATTTCAGCTTAAGTTATAAGTTCCTATTCAAAACACGTTCAAAATAATTGAGATTTACTATTGAATAAGGTTTTTTGTTGAAAACTAAGTAGTTTATATTTAGCTACGATGTATTATAGCACGAAAAATTGTAGTTGAAAAGGTAAGTTTATGAAATGGCATTGCTGAGTGGCAGCACTGCAGTAAGCAACACTGGGGGCTCCAATAATCGACAAAATTCTGCGTATAAAGACTGCGTTTAAGTATACGTTCTGCGTTCTTGACTAATTTATGCTTAAAAAATTACAACAATGCTACCCATACATTTTAACGAGCTAGCGCACACTTGCACAATTCCATCGCTGCGAATTTTTCGAGCATTAAATGTTCCTCTCTTTTGACGCGTTCAAACGCGTCTTGCAGCGCTTTGAAGACGTCAATGAAGAAGAAGAAAAGTGTCATAACTCCTGACATCTTCAACATAACCTCCAAATTTTGGTTTTTGAAGATTTATTACAACAACAGTGAGGGTAAAATCAGCTATGTTTGTACAGCTGATTCAGTCAAATTTATCAAAAACCGCAAAGCGGCCCAAGAACATGCAAAATATTTGTGTTGTCCACGTCGTGTAACATGACCATTGTTCAGGTGAGCCGAAGAAGTTTCACGAAATCGTTTTCTGTAGAGTCCCTACATATGTATATATGAATGTATGTTTGCCTGTAAACAAACTTACTTTTTTTCATATAAATCACTTACGAAATTTCTTGCAAAGCATTAAAATATTGAACCATTTCTTCGGTGGTGTCAAAGACATTATACAAAAATCTACCACAGGGTTGCATGTGCCGTTGATTCACACATTTTTAAAACTTTTGGTTTAAAATAAATTATTTGGAATTCGTTTCTTAANCTTGCAAAGCATTAAAATATTGAACCATTTCTAGAGCAATGTTCTGAATATATATCAAGGCATTGCTTTTGTCGGTGGTGTCAAAGACATTATACAAAAATCTACCACAGGGTTGCATGTGCCGTTGATTCACAAATTTTTAAAACTTTTGGTTTAAAATAAATTATTTGGAATTCGTTTCTTAAAGATAAATTGGTCCTACTTGCCCTTTCACAAGAATGCTGGTGAGCGGAAATTAAATACGGAATCTGTGAAAATATCAATAAAACAATAGTATGGTCAATTAAATTAAAAATTAAATGGCGATCGCTTAGTGGCACAAGCTATTTTCCCCCTTATGAAATGAATTTAATATATTGTTAAATTTATATAAAAATTGTATCCGATATCGGAGCACATACATACATATACGAAATTATTTTGTATTGTCAAAACAAGCAAACATATTCGAATTGATCGTAATTTTTCCCCAGTTTCCTTTGAGCGGAAGGCTTTTCGCTAAAACGGTAGTGTTCCTTCCGTAGCAATATGTATGTACCTTACCGGATAGGGAAAGACATTTCCGATTTCGAGTCTGTGTTCTTCAAAAAAAAGCAATCCGAACTCTGAACCACTATTTATAACAAATGCATAAGTACAGAAATATCTAGGTCCACATTTGCCGATACTACAGATATATACTATGTACTTATATATAGAAGATATAAAAATACTGCTGGAATTTCAGATTTTAAAGTACATATAACCCAAATCTTACTCGAACTACAGTTTATTCTTACTTGTTATGAAGCTTTGCCCCACCGATCGTCAAGAATTCAATTTTTTCTGCATTTCTGGGTAGGTCCACTTTTTTATGTATACATATAANTCCCCTTACGAAATGAATATAATATATATTGTTAAATTTATATAAAAATTGTATCCGATATCGGAGCACATACATACATATACGAAATTATTTTGTATTGTCAAAACAAGGAAACATATTCGAATTGATCGTAAATTTTCCCCAGTTTCCTTTGAGCGGAAGGCTTTTGTCTAAAATGGTAGTGTTCTTTCCGGAAGAATATGTACATACCTTACCGGATAGGTAAAGGCACGAACATTTCCGATTTCGAGTCTGTGTTCTTCAAAAAAAAAAAAAACAATCCGAATTCTGAATCACCATTTATAACAGATGCATAATTATAGAAATATCTAGGTCCACATTTGCCGATACTACAGATATATACTATGTACTTACATATATATAGAAGATATAAAAATACTGCTGGAATTTCAGATTTTAAAGTACATATAACCCAAATCGTACTCGAACTACAGTTTATTCTTACTTGTTATGAAGCTTTGCCCCGCCGATCGTCCAGAATTAAATTTTTTCTGCATTTCTGGGTAGGTCCACTTTTTTATGTATACATATAAACTTGACTCGTTTAGCTCTGTTGGACCACCCGATGGCCCAATGTTGTACGTCAATATGGCGGATAAAGCGAAACACACACGAGGGCAACACGATTGCTGTCGGCCATCTGTCGGCTCATGACGTTTCGTATGCGCCTATTCGCTCGCACCTGGTTTTCTGACTTCTTCCAGCACATGACCGGCAATTTAGGCAACGAAGCAAATGCTGTCGAACAAGTCGGCCGAGCTGCAGCAATGAAAAAGAAAAATTTTTGTTTGTACGACAAAGCGAAATTCGTCGCCATATTGAATACGAAGTGAGTGGTGTCAAGTTGTGTAGTGTACAGAGAAAATTATGCAGATTTTCATTTTAACTTGGAATTTGCAAACAAATTTTAGTAAATCAACAATTAAGCACAACTAGTTCGTGTATATGTATTTGTATGATTGAATGTGTTTTAGTAACACATTTTAGTGGTAAACATTAAGAATACATACATACATATATGTGTAGTGATAAAATTGGCTCTTGTTAAGCATACGTCGATCGATGTGTGTGCGTGTGTAAACGGCCGGGACTGTGCTGGAGTGAAAAAAATTGTTCACAAGTACCTATTGTTTGCACCTTGTTGATAAGTTTATCTGGGAAGATTGCGCTGCATAGGAGTGTTCGTCGTCAGTTTTCTTGAACATAACCTATAATTGCGTGTGGCGAGATGGAGGCGAGCACCACATCAGCGGCGGCTCCAACGCAGGCATCTTCCAATGACCAGGAAGGTAAGAGGCTTTGCCAGAAACATTTGACAACGTCAAGTTTATATATGTTTATGAGTTGTACTTAAATGTTTAGCTAAATGGCTAATATTTCAGTATGTAATATAGGTATTGAGTTGACTGAATGTACATACGAATCTTTATGTGCGTTTGGGCTAAATTGGAGCCTAAAAGCTTGCCAAGGCTTCTGCAAACGTGCCAACAAGGAGTTACTAAGCTATATTTTAGTGTCTTCTTGGATGGATGAAATGTCAGGCATAAAAATTTGTATTTAGAAGAAAGTTATGCATCTTGGTATCAGTTTATAAGCTGAAAATTATTCTTTTGTATTAGAGTGGCATCTTGGTTGTTGCCCAGCTTTATTCAATTCGCCGCGTCCATATCGATGTAGTAAGATTTCGAACCATAATAGAGTTGTATTTCGGCTATCTAATTCACGAAGACATTCTAGCGCCATATTAATTTTTAGCAAAAACACAAACCGTGCATACAGAGTTGTATTTTGTTAGCTGCAATAACCCTTGATATGCTCGCTAGATGGCGCGCATAAATTATTTGGACTTTGGAATGTATTCAAACGGATCCACTTTCGATCATTGCGCCAATATCTAAATTCGAAACTTTGAGACAACATAACCCTGAAATCGTCGCCTCAGAACACTAATGGTGTACATCCGTCAATTCAATCAACGACATAATTCACAATTTAAAAAAAAAAAAAAAAGCTTACGGCCATTTTTTCAGCGCCAGTTTAAACCTACTTTAAACTGCGTTTAGACAACTACAGAATTCATATTTCTTGAAAATATGTTTACAATTTTACAATTAATCGACAAGTGAAACATAAAACTACGGTACAATTAAATCGTAAATTGAGCAAACACAATCGATTAATTTAATCAAGTGATTAATCTCTGCGATCCCTGATCATGTCTCTAATCTTTGACTAATCCTTACTACTTACTCTAGAAATCCTTACTACTTAGATTGACTCTTACATACATATATATTAGTGTTTGGCCGAGCTTTTCCTCCGATTTGTGGCGTGCTGTTTTTCATGGCAGAAATACTTTGGAGGTTTGCCAGTGACTGCCGAGGGGCGACCGCTATTAGAAAAAACTGTATATTTTTTATGTTAGTAGGAACGTGGGCTTGAACCCAGGCCCTACTGAGTGGTACCGCGCAATGGTACCTTTAGATCAAAGCGGCCGCCATGCATTAAACAAGGATTAGAAACCTAAGCCACTTCCATAACCATGGTAAGTGTTTTCATTTTTGTTTTCGTAAATAATAGCTGATTTCGGTTCATTATTTTTTCTAACAAACGACGATGTTGTTGTAACTGCAGACAAATTCCCCAAAGAGTTACTGGGGAATGTTTCAGAAGTGACAGTCCTTGGCCAGATATAAATCTGGGTTGTTCCGTTTGTGTAGACCCGACCGTCGTGGCAACAACGACGATCAACTTTTCATCTGAACGATCTCTTAATTTTGGAATATCCTTATCAAGAACATTTGTTATTTTCGAAATATTGCATTCTACTAAAAAATGCACATTTGACATATATATACATACATATATACATTTCGCTGCGTTGCGCGTATTATTAGTTGCATTCCAGATGCTTAATGATTTGCGGGTTTTACAGGATTTGCAGGAAAAGCTATTTTCTCCATTAATAAACCTTATGGAAGGTGGTCACCTGGAACGACTTCCTGTAAAAAACTGCAAACCGTGAAGTATCTGGAACGCAACTATTGAAAGTATCACGTTCGGTGTGAATATCTAGCATCGTTTTATCAGTTCGGAAAGTTGCACCAATATTGCAAATTTTCATGAGTTCTGCAGTATTTCGGTTTTCATTTCGTACCTCGAGCAGGCCGTTATTTTGACAAAAACCACTTGTCTCGAGTTAGACGTTTTTCTTTTTAAAGCATTATTTCATTGGATTCCAAAGCATTATTTTGACGATTAACTAGCCAAATGGGTAATTTAAGATTCCCCTTATATATAGTAGCTTGTTGATGTTTGCTGTTAGTTGCGACCTGTTGAACTTCCGCGGGCGCATCGCAGAAAGCTTTTTAACTACAAACCATACGTTGTCAAGGGATGACAGAAATTTGTTTCATATGCCTTATGCAAAAAAACTTACTCATAAATTCTTCAGAAAATTGCTTTCGTAATGTAAACCACCCTTAATTCAAACAAGTAATTTTTAGCAAAAAAAAAACCGACTTCAACTCTCATATAAAAAAAATATATATATATACATCTCATGATCCACTGATCGGATCTTAACCAGATTAGTATGGGACCACCTCTGAGACACTACCTTTCCGATGCAAAAAGAATTATCGAAATCGGTTGACGTGGTCCAAAGTTGTGCGGTAACATACATAAAAAANGTGTATGTACCTATATAGCAACGTTTTTAATAAATTTGTATTTTTAATAATATTAAAACCACACTACCGGACAAGGTTAAGCTTAACTAATAATTCCATTTTTTTTTCTATAATTTAAGATCTGTTGGATTTCCATCCAGGTTTATCTGAAGAAGAGCGTCGTTTCTACATAAGGGCATATCCGAATGTTGATCTGGTGCGAGAGCGCAAGGTGCATTGTACTATTTGTAAGATGCATATCGGCACTGCCCCAATCCAAGAAGATATCATCAAAATGCATCCGGTGCTGCGTGTAACACACTGCACCAAATGTCATGATTTCTACAATAGCGGTGAATTCAGTAAAGGCGAAGATGGCTCAGAGCTATATTGCCGCTGGTGTGGGCAAGGCGGAGAGGTTTATTGCTGCTCAAGCTGCCCTTATGTGTTTTGCAAGTCATGTATCGTTAAGAATTTGTCTCGTGGTGTAGTAGCCGACATTGAACAAAATGAAAATTGGAATTGCTTCAGCTGTGCACCGAAAATACTTTGGCCGTTGCGAGCGCAGCACTGGGCATTGATTCGCTATATAGATAAACAAAAGAAGTGAGATTTTATGCGATTTTTTTTTTTAAGCAAAACATGTTTGACTAATTTTTTACATTTGTTATAGGCACATTGAGGCAACATGCCTTAGTGAAACTGAAAAGAAAACGCTCATGGCACAAGATCGCTCTACTTGCTGTCGTCTAGCCAAGTCTAAGTGTGGCAACATGTCGGACTCTATGGAGAGTTTGGATTCTACGGCATCACGTCGCAGTCACAATAGCACCAGTGCAAAGAAGCAATCAAAATCGCCTGGTTCGCATCCACAAACACCCGCTGCCAAGCGTATGAAAACATCAAATGATGAAGTCGTCTGCACTCCCGATTTGTTGAGCATGTTGGAGCCTGATTGTCAAATTACTGTACCACAGAAGACCCGCCCTTCTCCGTCGCCAATGACGTCTACACCGAAGATAATATCCTTGCAAGCCAATGCACAGGCTCAAAATAGTAGTGGCATGACTCTAAAACCACATAACAATACACCACCGCCATTGGTGTTGCGTAACACCGGCATACCAATGCGACATCCTTCGCCTGCACCTGTTGTGCGGCGTACAATTATTGGTGCACGCAATGCTACATCGACTGGAAATCATACACCCGTTTATCATACCATTAATGGCTATCGCATCGATTTGAATTCAGCAGCCCAGCAAGAAACATTCCGTTTACCAAATGGCAAGCTAATACAAGTGAAACGCCAGGGAACAAACAATGTTCAGGCCGCCACTTCACCACAAGTGGGTAATAACCCTTGGATGCGCCAGGCAAGTCCAATTGCGTCTATACAGCACGCTGCATCTGGTCGTCCTATACAAATAACCCCAGCTAGTTCACATGCGACACAACACTACTATACAGTGCAGCAGCAGCAGCAACAGCATCATCAGCAACAACAACAGCAGCAGCAGCAGCAGCAGCAACAACAACAACAAAATGCAATGCACCACCCACAAATGATACGCTACAGCAATACCACAGTTACACCAGTTGGTGGTCAAAATGGCGCTGTCAGGGCCGCACAAATACAGGTGATTAATGGCGTGCCAGTAGCACCTCACGTTGCACAAACAGCAGCACCAAATGCAAATGTCGCTACCGCAGCTCGTGCGCCACTCATGGTGCGTCATGTCTTCCCTGACACGGCCTTCGGTCAAGCACGCACTCAGCTTCAAGAACAAGTATTCAATGCCATGGAAATTTGCCAACATCTAACTGGCAAAGTGCAAACACTGACCAATTCGAATGCCTACAAGACGGCACGTAATTACCTCGAAGTGAAGGAACTCTACATCCATCTTTCATATTTGTTAACCTACGCAATTGGACGCTTCAAGGGCTTGCAGGATAAATGCTTAGCTGATATGCGGCAATTGGGCTTCGTTAAAGATGCCGATAGTTTGGATAATGGGCAGTTGGCAGCAGGTAGGTGATCATTTTGTTTTCGTGTTCAGTGAATGTAAGGTAAACATACATATGTTTAAGCTTTAAATCGTATTGCGAATAACAACAAAAACACAAATTTATGAACATATCAGATAACCTAAAGCTTAACTGATTAGTAGTTATAGGTAGCTTTCAAACGCATTAACCTTTGCTGTATAAAAAATAAAACCGATCGATGGTATTTTTGTCATTAAACCAAATTATACGCGGCTCATTACTTTTCAGTCATTGTCTTGAGTCATTTGTTGTGCACATGGACTGCGTACTAATTTTTATAATTATATAAGTGTGTGAAAAAGATGAAAATACAAGAAGAAAAACTCGGTCCCTAATACCGAAAATGTAAGTACGAAACAAAAAGCGAATGTTTGATGCGTTTTGAGTTCAATTTCATTGACTTTCAGCAAGCCAACTCTTCTCTATTCGCTAAAAATTTCACACGAAGAGTATTTACATGGACTACAATCAATGAAATGTTTACGAGTTTTTTTTTTTTTGTGAAGCTGGATTTAATGAAGTTTACAAACGATCCCAGATGCTTGTATTACAAAAGAAGTTTTTTTTTTTTAAGTTTTTAATTTGTACGCATCCTCTAAGCTAAGTTGCAGATTTGACACAAAAGTTTTATATTTTTATTAATATCACATCTTAAAGTACAATTAAAATTTTACATATTGGAAGGGATTTGGAAAACTCCCTTAAGACTTCTTGACGTTTTACAAAATTATACGNTTTTTTTTTTTAAGTTTTAAAACATCCTTAATTTGTACGCATCCTCTAAGCTAAGTTGCAGATTTTGTATTTTTATTAATATCACATCTTAAAGTACAATTAAAATTTTACATATTGGAAAGGATTTGGAAAACTCCCTTAAGACTTCTTGACGTTTTACAAAATTATACGCTGTACAGTTAGGATAACAAAGATACCGCAAAAATAACTAAATCATCAGTTGTTGCCTAGTTCGGCTAGTATATTCATCGTCGTCAAGCCACTTATGGTAGGCCCATTAAACTTGCTTCTTCGACAGGGTCGGACCAAAGGGTTGTTGTTGTTGTAACGGCATAGAGATTCCCCAAAGAGTTTTTGGGAAGTGTGGAGTGGAGTGCCAGTCCTTGGCCAGATATAAATCTGGGTCGTTCCGGTTACGTAGACCCGACTGTCGTGGGACCAAAGGGTACGGGGTGTTGACTAAGTCAAGTGAAGATGTAGTTGGTGTCATGTGGGGTGCCTGCACAACCTACTACTGTATCTAAACCATAAATGACGTTCGGGGTGCGGGCTGCTTTCTTGCACTGGCGTTTTGCGTAACTTGAAGGCCGTGCAGGGAGAGGGTGCCGTATAGTGTTACTCTTGTACTCCAGTTGCAAGAGATCCATCTAGCCAGGGTAAACTTCGGTTTTTAGTTCGGAGTTGAACTCAATGCAGGGACGGATAACGACTGGTATAGTTTGGTTACCCAAATAGGGTTAGGCCGCTAAGAAGCCAAAAGATGAGTTTTCCAAACCTTTTTTAAATCATACTAAAAACCCTCGCTCATATATTGTGTATCAAAACTTAGTACGCGCCATTCTATTCTCAAAATATGCGTAATAACAAGTGGTCCATGTGTTAGCAAAATGTCTGAAGGCAATGAAATTCGCAACTCGATAGCATTCATAGCAGCATCAAATAAATAATTAAATGCAATAACTTAAATAATGCACATTTCAGGCGTCGACTATGTCCGTTATGGTCAACTTGAAGATATAGATCTTTTCAATACCAGCTCAAATAGCTTCCATAATCAGGTATATGAGTATCGCAAGAGTTTGTATGCGAATTTGGAGAATGGAAATGGTGACATTAAGAAACCGCCTCTGTCTCCGCTAATGCCGCTGGGTCAAAGTAGACGCAATGCTGATGTCGATGCTGGTGAAGACGACGAGGAGGATTATGGCGATATGAATGATGAGACAGGCGAAACCAGCTGGATGAAAAACAACAATGATACAAGGGCTGTGGGTGATATGACACAAATGGAGTCCACCTACAAAGAACCAGAGTCATCATATTATGATAATGAGACGACATTCGATGAAACTGCAAATGAAGATGTGGACGCGACGGCAGAAGTTGATTTGGACGATGAGGAGCCCGACGCCGATGTAGCTGATGATGGCGGTTTCGAACAGTATGCCGCACAACAACCGTCACGTTACAGCAACAAGGCACATTATGGTACTGAGGATTACATGAGCCACGAAGAGCAAACACATGCACGCGATCGCAAATTGGCGCGTCTCATACAACAGTATCCGGCTATTTGGTGTACACGCCATGCCGATTATGGCAACTTCGAAGTAACACGCAAGCACTGGCGCACCATAGCATCACATTTCAAGCGCACCGAAAACATTAAGTTGCGTTGGAAGAATATACGCAAGCGTTATGTCCGAGTGGAGCGACGCGTACGCGAAGGCAAGCGCTTCAATGGCTACTTTGACAAGACCACAAACTTTCTGGCCAATCGCGATTTGCCCGAAGATCAGTGGGTCGAGGTGGATTGCGGTAGTGAGGATGGTGATGGTTTCGACCGCAAACAACTCGACGTGATCGAAAAGAAACTACATAAGGACGAGAAATCACGATTATGGAACGAAAATAATGGCGGCGATGCTGGTGACAATTATGGCATACCATCGGAAGATAGTGAGAAACCAATTGAAGTGCGAGCTTTGGATATGAAAATCATAAATTTTGTCAAATGTAATCCGGTGTTATGGCGTAAATCCCCTGATCCGCAATATAATCACATCGACGAACAATCACGAAAGTCGCTTTGGGTACACTTGTGGAAAACAACGCGACTGCAAAGTAAATACAAATGTGCATACGTATACATATATGGGAATAATTAATACATTTATGTGTGTGATGTGTGGAACAATTATTTTTTTCGTCTTTGCAGATCTAACTTGTGAAGATATAATGGATCGTTGGGCACATCTTTACGAAATGTATAAGTCTTTTCGCTTAAAAACCATCAAGGACGAAACAAAGAGGGCTAATTTGGAATTAAAATATTCAAAATATCTAGCCAAACTCTATTTCCTATACAAAATTGTTGAGGAAGATTTGCGCAATGAGCATTGCAATAATATTGACATTGATTTAACGAAAGATATGCCCGAAAGTGAGCGGCGTATGCAAGATGATCCGGATGATAAGGAGTTTATGGTGCAACTGGTGCGTTGTGTGCAACATTACAGCATGCTGTGGGATAAATTGAATATAGACTACTATGATACAGTGTTGCGCTCAAATATTTGGCAAGATATTGCTAGTGAGTTAAAAGATTTCAAACGTAAGTGAATTTGTTCGTGGGTTAGAGATTCAATAGTATAGCGATTAAAATCTCATTTTTGTACACTAGGTAATGCTGAAACTATTAAAAAGCGTTGGCAGCTTGCCCTCTTCAGCTATCAGCGTTATAGGCGCGATCGTCGCACATTCCCGAAGGATAAACCATTGCCAAAATATTGCCGAAATTTACCAGTGGATGAAATGTTTTTCCTCGATTGAAAATAAGTGAAATAGATCTCCTTTTATTAAGAAAAAAGTATATGCATATATGTATAAGAATGAATTTAATTATAGCATTCACATCATGTAGTCCATACTCGTATTAAGCTTTCATGATACATTTACAAAAATTTTATATAAAATTAAATCGTGGTATTTTCATGGCCAAAATTATTATAATTTGGAATTATGTGTTTAAAAAGCATCCCATGGTGTGTGTGCAATGCAATGATAAGGGCGTGCCTCGCCAAATTTGCGCGTTTATTGCTATCGATGCTCGAATAGGGACAAAAAAACTGCTGAAATAGCGTTTCTTAAGAAAGCTTTTTCTAAAAGAAAAAGCTAATTACTTAAGAAAAAAGCAATTAATTTTAAGTCTTTATGAAAAGAACATCGGGTTTAATGCTGACCTGATTAAAAATGTAAAATTTTAGGTTATTTTCAATAATTTTATAAAAACGTATTATGTATTTCAGTAATTTTTTTATTAGAATTAATCATTAAACTCATATAACACCATGCTTGCATGTACGTACGTACGAACATATATTGATCTAACTTTTATAAATTAATGATTACGCAATTAAAATATGTTTAAATACAAAAATAATTTAATCTTTTAAAGCTTAAATAATATATCTACTGAACCCCCCTTTTTACTAGAATGCTCGTCCGTTCGACAACTCCATGTGAGTTATTCGCTCAGAGAGACGGAAAAGCAAAGCGTTTTGCTGCCAAATCGGGAAACAAAACATGACATTTTTCCGTGTGAATACTCAAAAAGTGCTTTTGGTCACTTTTCGGAAATTAATTTCGAAACTAAAACTTGCTCGTGCGGCACTATGTAGTAATGTTGATTTTTCAAAGTTCACTTTTCGGAAATCAAAAACTAAACCTTTTGATACTGTTGAGTTTGACGCACATTTAGAAATTACTTGCATTACTTGCGAATTACTTGCAACAGTGTAATCTGCTTTTAAAATGTTTGTGCTTAATTGCTGTGATATCTCTTTAGTGCCCGCAAATGCTAGCTGCACATTAAATTTATATTAAAATGATTTTTCTTTTTTTTTTCATACAGAAAAACAAGCCAGTGATGATGAAGATAACGAAATCGAGATTGTGGAGCCTAAAACGGACACCATTACACTGGATTCGGACAATGAAGATGACGAGCCAGCCAAGCAAACAACAGCCGCTTCATTTAAGAATGCACCAATCTTATCAATCAATAATAGTACTCCTACTTCCAGCAATATCTCAGTGCAGCTTCAGCCGCAGCACCAATCAACTACCAATGACGTTAGCTGCCCAAACATGAAACAAGTGTTGCTTCTTCCTAAAAGTACTTCAATTTCGACCATTACACCAATGCCCAGTCTATCCAATGCTGCTGCTGCTGCTGCTGGTGCCGCTGCCGCTGCTGGTGCCGCTGCGTCCTATGAAGATAACACCGCCTTGGTAAATGAGGCTAACAATGATAAAATGGAGGAAATCGATATATTGTCGGCGGCGAGAACTTTTCTTGTTAGCCTCTTGGAAGTGGATTCTGATGCTGCCGATGGCGATTCCATATCACAGCAACAGCAGCGCAAGCAGCCACGCAAAAAGACTACCAACAAACCGAATCCAACTTTGCTGAAACAGAAGGAAATGCTCGAACGCGAACGCTTAGAGGAGATGAAACGTAGCGATTTGAAACTCAAAATGAAGTGTGCCATTTCGTTGAAAAAGGCAGAAGAAGAATTTCCATTTGCTAAAGATATGCTGGAGAAGCATGAGAGCGTGCTAAAGGCCGATGCTGAGAAATTGAAAGGGGAAATAACGGAGAATGATGAAAATGCTGAGGAGACCAGTGAAAAGAAAGAGCCTACGGATAACAATGAAGCAATGAATGATTCTGGCGAGGTGGAAATACTGACTGTGGACTTGGAAAGCTCCATTGATGAAGGAAAAGACAGCGAAATAGTTTTGCATGAGGAGAATTCCGGAAACAAAGCAGACGAGGAGGATGACGAAGAGGAGGAGGAGGAGGAGGAAGATAACAACAAAAAGTTAAGCATTGTTATGGACGATGACGAGGATGGTAAGGAGGAAAAATCGTTGATTATAGAAGTTGAGGGCAACAGCAGCAACGAGAAGGAGTCACTCAAAGTGGTTATTGATGAGAAACCTTTGGACAAGGGCGATAGTGATGGTTTGGCTGTTAACGAAAAGACTGTGGACGGCAGTGAAAAGCATACGAAAACTAAAATGGAAACCGTAAGTGAATGCGCTAAGCGTGTGATTGAGGGCTTGCAAGCAAGTGAGAAAAAGAAAGAAATGGAAAGGAAGGAACAACAGGCCAATAAGTTGGCTGTGGTCGAGGTAGCGCCGTCCGCAGCGGCAACATCGACAAACGCCGCTACAACAACAACAACAACAACAACAAACGTCGATGCCAACGTGACTGCCGATGAAACAATCGAACCAATTGTAATGGAAGAATCTGATATCGCTGACTCTGAGCTATCGCCAATTAAACGAAAACTCTCCACCACGCTGGATGATAATGCTGTCTCTGAGGCCAATGCAACAGCCGCAACCGATATGAAAGCAAATGAAGATAAAGAGTGCAATCCCGCCATCGTAGAGACTGCTAGTGTTGCGGAATTAAATGAGCCGGAAATTGATGTTGAAAAAGAAATTGAGAAACTTCTATCGAACAAAGAGCAGCCGTTGCCGGAAACTGAGGCACAAACAGATACTGGTGATGGTGAAAAAACAAGTGCCGCTCCTCAAAACGCCACAGAAGCGTCAATTTCACAAATAGTTGATGCGCCAGCACTGAACGAAATAGTAGACAGCTTAATGGAGTGCGAGAGAGCGGCCCTCACATAAAATAAATGGAGAAACGCGCAAGCGCAGCGCAGCGTTTGATGCGACCATAGGCAATAGCAGTTGTTGCAACTGAACTTTTTTTTTAATATTCATAGTTCTTAGTATTCATCACTTAGTTTACATCTAATGCATAATTATTTAGAGTACCTTTTGTACGCCAGGGCGTATAAAATCATAAGCTGCTCGGTATTTATTACATTTACGCTGCTGAACATTGAGTTGATTGAAACCGATTGTTTGCAAAGTGAGTATATTTATTTGCTGGATTTCGAATTGCTGGGTACTATCAATATCAAAATTATTTACAAATTGATAAAAAAAATCACTAGGGCTATTCATCTAAACGGGTAAATGCCTCGTAACTATCCAAACCTCGTAAACGTATGGAAAGTCAGTTTGTTTACGGGGTTCACGCGGTTACGAAGCATTTACGCGTTTCCATGCATACCCACACTAAGTTGTTCACTATAAAATGATTTCTAAAAATTGTATAGAATTCGTATGCGTTTCATTTGAAAGAAAAAAAACCCATATGAAAGATACGTACATTTTACCGTGACCTTAATTCACAAAGGCCCTAATGAATACTTTTCGAAACTGCGTTTTTCACAGATTTCGGTAGGATATATTAAAAAATACACCTCTAAAAATTTAAAGTGTTAGTACCAAAAACAAGGGACTTATGCCTCTTTTTAAAAAGGCCTATCTGCAGTTTTTGATTTACATTCTTATTTTTTAACGGTGTTTGTTTCTGCTGTAAAATAGAAAATTTGATGGTAAGGGCCTTTGCGAATTAAGGTAATGGATACTTACGTACATGTAAAGCATTTCGTGTTTCTAAATAAATATTGAATTGTTTAGAATTTTCAATGCTTAGTAACTTAATATTATACATACATATATTAATATGAATTCTTGATTTTGATTTTGCGTATGTATGTATATTGTATATATTTAAAAATCATTGACGCAAACATTTTCATTTTAGATTTAGAAAGTAATTTTTTAAGTTTTTTTTTTTTAATTTTCCCTTAAGTTTATTTCTTTCTACCATTAATAAAAGGTTTAAAATAAAGAATAATCAGCAGTTAAATAAAAATCAATAAACCCACGAAAACAAATCTCTATATATTATTCTAAGACGAGGCGCTTATTCCCAGCGATCTACTAATCGTATAGAGATAAGTTTTATATCAAATTAAAGGGCTGGACCTGAAATTTTTCACATACATTTTAGATTTAAGAATCATTACACTACTTTCGATAAAATTTGGGCGGAAATAATTTTTACGGTTTTACATCGAACAAAGCATTGCTACATTCATTTGGATAGGCAGCAACTATAGTATCTAGTTTTAAAAGGTTAAACTGAAATTCACAAACACATTCTCATTTTTAATTTCAAACAACAACAATAGCCGCCATAGACTATAGCCTAAACACTTGCCTAGTGGCGAAACGAACGATTTCAATAAGGTACAACCAAACTCGCTATCGCCCATCGATGCTAGCTAACTTTGTTGTTGCTTTCACATACAAAATTTTTCGNCTACCATTAATAAAAGGTTTAAAATAAAGAATAATCAGCAGTTAAATAAAAATCAATAAACCCACGAAAACAAATATCTATATATTATTCTAAGACGAGGCGCTTATTCCCAGCGATCTACTAATCGTATAGAGATAAGTTATATATCAAATTAAAGTGCTCGTCCTGAAATTTTTCACAAACATTTTAGATTTAAGAATCATTACACTACTTTCGATCAAATTTGGGCGGAAATAATTTTTACGATTTTACATCGAACAAAGCATTGCTACAGTCATTTTGATAGGCAGCAACTATAGTATCTAGTTTTAAAAGGTTAAACTGAAATTCACAAACACATTCTCATTTTCAATTTCAAACAACAACAATAGCCGCCATAGACTATAGCCTACACACTTGCCTAGTGGCGAAACGAACGATTTCAATAAGGTACAACCAAACTCGCTATCGTCCATCGATGCTAGCTAACTTTGTTGTTGCTTTCACATACAAAATTTTTCGTTAAGCGACCGGAACTCAAACGAGCGAGCAGAGAAGTGGCGAATCGATGGCGGCTAATAATTGTTTTAACTCTCGTTGTGATATTAATTGGCAATATAAGTACATACATATTTAATGGTCTCGCCTTATACTTGGACGCCGAACTTTTAACAGTTAAATGACATGGGTAAACGAATTTTACTACCTGGTATAAATTTATAGCCCAGCGATTCAAAACTTCCTGTTGTATTAAAACGTATCCAATTCAAAATTTATGTAGCGTTCGCAATAACAATAAATGATTCTCAAAATCAGCAAGAGTCGGTGTTTTCCTAAAAGAGGATTGCTTTACGTAGAGGCAGACCATGATTAGAGTTCGATCTTGCGACGATATTAAAGTTAAAATTAACGTCCAAAACAAATTACTGCAAATGTAGTTTCTAATGAAGTGCCTACATAATAATTTTAATAGATTGGCGCTTATACGCAATGTGTTAGTGTTTGGGCCGAGCTTCTCCTCCGATTTGTGGCGTGCGCCTTGATGTTGTTTCACAAAGGGGAGCAATTTATGTGAAGCAATTTTTCTGCTTTAAGTAGAACAGGACAAAAGCCTTACAGCAACAACGAACAAGGGAACACAGATCCAAACTACGGAAACCCAAGGAATGAAGTAACTGATTTTTACCTTCCTGCTGCGGATACACACCCAAGAACAACAAACGCCTGTTGGGACTCAAAAAAATAGGTTCCGGTAGGCGTACCTATTTAAGAAATAACGAACATTAACACGAATTATAAACATTCAAGCACGAATATTAACTAAAGAGCACGAAAATTGACACTGACGGTGGCACAAGGCCGAAACCGGTTTGTTTCCAAACCAAAGTCGACAAGGGATGACGGAAAATCTGTCCACAATACGAAAATTCGTTGGATTTGTGGTGGAAGAGAGGCTTCGTCGCCAAATATTGTTGTTGTAACAGCATATAAATTCCCCAAACAGCTTTTGAGGAATAATGCTGGAGTGACGGTCCTTTGCCAGATATACTTACATAAATAGTTCGGGTTACGTAGAGCCAACTGTGGCGGGAATGTCGATAAGTACTGTTGTTCTCCCCGAAGTACGAGTTTCTCGCTACTGTCCTAATTCCGGCAATATTCTTCAA